TACAGACGAAAGCGTGGACTTGTGACGAAACACCCGTGCATTTCTCTCGCACCAAATGGTCCAGCAGGTCAGCATAGCAAGAGAAGTCATCGCCTTCCGGTTGGGCATGCTGGAGGACGACATGTTGAGCCACCAGTCCTTGATGGAGCGCATCGTGATCCAGGAGGAGATGTCGAGGTAGTCGAGTTTGAGCCAGCCTTTGATCATGCCCCATAGTCTAATGGAGTACCGACACTTGAAGAAGATGTGGCTCACCGATTTCAACGTCTGCTTGCAGAGTGGACATAGGCTGCAGTTCGGCCACCCTCTCCTCTCCAATCTATCCGCCGTCCAGACTCGGTTTTGGATTGCCAGCCAAGCAAAGAATTTCATCTTAGGGGGAGCCCATGCTTTCCAAACGACGAAGCCCATGGGCGAGCTGACCAACCCAAGGAGTTGCGCAGTGTACGCGGATGTGGCGGAGTAGATTCCGCTGGCAGTATGCTTCCAGGTGATGGTGTCCTCGGCGTCCACCGCGAGGGGAATGGCCCTCAGCCGAGCCCAAAGCGTGACAAGCTGTCGGATGTGCTTCATTGTCCAGTTGTTGGGGAGCTTGATTTTGGACAGCCACGCGTCCGCATGCATGGCCTCCTGTACCTTTCATTTTTTTCCTCGTGGAAGCCTCGAAGATGAGAGGTGCTATGACGGAAGGTTTCTCGCCATTAACCCATGGGGAGTCCCAAAATGAAGTATGAACGGTCCAAAATAGCTTGGAAGCGTCCCAAAAAGCATCATTCAGATCACGCTGAGGATAACACTTCCAGAAAACCAAGGAAGGAAGGAAGCCAGCGGAGCTAGCTACTAGCAACACCTACAGCAAGCAAGCAAACGCTTTACCCTTTTCCCTTTCTCCTTTCCGAGCGAGGAAGGTGCATGCATACACAGCTCTTCACATGGACATGCTTGACTTCGCCGCCCGTCTCCGTACAATCCGCACGCGGCGACGGCCACAAACAAAGTCCTCCGGCCGATCAGTCGACGGACGGCCGGCCGCCTCGTATCCCATCCTCCGCACGCGCTTTGCGCTTTTGCTCACAGGAAACGCGTCGCCTGAAACCCACTGATGATCCCAGCAAGCATCCGTCCATCGGCAAATTGATCTGACCTCGGAATCACTTCTCGCCGGAGGCACTTGCAGAACATTTCCGACTGATGGAATGGCATTGGCATGGCATGGAGAATTGGGAATCTGCGGCTGCTTTTGAGCTTTTGTTCATAAACGGATGGATAAACCGCACGACGAAACGGAGGCGCAACCGCTAGATCAGTACTGCGGCGTGGAACCGCCAGCAGCAGAGTGACTCGTCGCGACGTCTGTTCTTCTCCTTGCAGGTCACCAGCCTGGCTAGCTTCCATGGCGACCTGGCATGAGATGAGATAGCGAAAAGATAAAATGCCACGGCGAACCTAACCTTTTGAGCTCCATCCAGCCCCTTTCTGCCCAATGCCGACCAGTTGCTTAAACCACAGGCAACGGGACGATGCATGCGTGCGTCTTTGTCACCCACACGTCGACGTGGCACATTGATGCGAGAGAGGAAGAAAGAAAAGAGGAAGCTTGTGCTCTACCTAATCGATCTGGCCCTTCTAGACGCCAGCCAGCTTTGCAATTGAATTCCATACAGCACCAGGATCCTCCTCCTCCACTGAGACGCCTCCAGCTACGTACTTGAACCAAAAGGAAGGCATAACTATTAGCGCACGCGCTGCTCGCACATTAGATTAGGTCACCAAGCAAGAGTACGCAGGGCGCTGTGGTTTGGTGCTTGGGTGCCTTTCCCTCCAATAGCATGCACCCAAAGAGGAGAAAGAATCGTTGGGACTTGGCTTTGACAAAACGCACCTGGGATCGGAACTTGGGAAGGGCGCGCGTCCATACCAGTTCTTGTGCAATATGTTCCGATGCCGATCTTGTTCCGCGGCACGCCTGTCCATCCTGTCCTCCTTGTCATGCTGCGATTTGCGGAACCACTCCTCAGTTCAGGGCCTTTGGGTTAACAAGTATTCGCAAATTGCGGGTGGGCCTTGCAGAAGCTTCTTTGATCTTTGATGCCTGCATCAAAAACAAGGAAGTTAATTTCAGCATCCTGTAGGCAGTTCAGATGGAACTCTTGATGGCGGGTGAACTTTCTTGTGTCAGGTGTTACAAGTTCATCTCATGTCAGTACTCAGCAGCTGCTTGTAAAACCTGTTTGCCATGCAATTTGAAGTTATGGTCAACCCTGTGGATCGGATGCAGCAAGGAAGAGGAAAGTGACAGTAGTAAACAGGGACACGGCGACAAATAATAGCTTCTGAGTGCTGTTACGTTATGTACATCAGTTTGTCCATTCATACTAGTAAGATGCCCGTGCGTTGCACGGCTAACCAAAATGCATTGATCTATAGTAGTTTATTTCACAACTTATGTGGTGGTCATCTCATGTGTAACAAATATCAATATGTTTCTTTGGATATATTCATTCTGCTTTTGAGCTCACAAGCATCCGGGTGAAGAGTAAATGCAGACAGAATAGCAAACATAACAAACCTATTCTTGCAAACAAACACGTTCCAGTGTTCAAGCTGCATGCAAAACTTCATGAAGAAAAAACACTTGTGGTGCTTTGCCAAAAAAAAGCTTTTAAAATAGTTTTTTAACGATTTGTTTATTTTTCTAGTCCAACATTAATGTTATTTTTTCATGAAATGTTGCACAAATAGTTCTACATGTTTGTTTCCAAAAGATTTCTTTAAATTTTATTGATATTATTTGAGCTCAAGAGCCAAGTTCATGTCCCATCTTCCTTCTGGCATTTCTTATGCAACAATCAAGTAAAAAAAATAGAACGAACCTATAATTAGATCCTTGCCGTACCGAGCTGAGTCGGGCCGAGCAACTACAGAATAGGCATTTCTTCCATATGTTATCATTACATATCTGCAACTGCAGAAGAAGATTTTCTTCTTCATCAATACCCATACATTGGTCCTTGTCAGATCAGAAGGCGAAGGGCAGTGCATCTCGCCTCCCCACACTCTGTTCCATCTATGAGAGTGTGATCAACATGGATTACGTTGCCGGGAAGGGGGAAATAATAGTAGGTGGTGGCTGCGCCGCCGAGGATGAGCAGGGCGTAGCCACCAACGTACTTGTGGGGGTTGGTGTTGGAGGAGACAGGGGAGGACACAGACGTTGTGGTCGCAGTTGGGGCTGCTGAAGCAAGAATACAGGGGAGGCAGTGAAACGTTGGGGCTCGAACGACTCCGGTGGTGAAATGTTGGGGCTGTGGCTCGTTTCCAGCCCAGTATTTTTTTTAAAATTAGCAGCGAAATGTATAGGCTACAAGAGCAGCCCAAGCCCAATAAGAAGCTATCCTTATTTGGTGACCTAGACGAGCAGCATGTCCCCACTGACCCACGCGATGCATCCATCCCCCCCGCCGCCGCACACAGCTGTTGCTCACACCTCCCTCCCTCTTACATTCTCTTCTTCTTCCCAACGCATCCATAATCCGTCCCCGCCGCACGCACACAGGCATGCTTTCGTCGCCGAGCGCACACACGCACGCAGATGCTCACACGTTGCCCACCCATGTTCTTCTCTGCTTGTGTTGCGTCCTCACCAACGTCGGCAGGTGCGTGCCCTCCGCCTCAACGCCGCACCTCCACTTGCTCTGGCACGCCCTGGTGGCTGGCGGTGACCACCATCACTCACAGCACATCCACAGCATGCGCCTCCCTTGTCCATCCACTCACGAGCCGCTCAGGCTAAACAGAGCCAGTGCAGAACGAGTCGAGCCACCCATATGCAGCTCGTTGGCATCACCCAGCCGAGCCGAGCTGGCTACTTCCGAGCGAGCTAACATGGCTGTTTGAATTCGGCTTGGCTCGTGTCCAGTCCTAATCGGCAGCATACTTACCCAGGTCGAAGTCAGTGAGACAGGGAAGGGGGTGGTGGAGACGGCGAGGAGGGGTTTGTGGTAGTGGTCGGCAATGGAGCCTGGGGGTGAACGAACGACGGCACCGACCTGTCCAGATCCTTCTTTCTTTCCTGAGATGGCGCTAGATGAGGTGGGGTAGAGATGGGCTAAACACTGAACTGGAGTGGCAGGGGGTTATTTGTAAAATTGCCATAGTTTGTCTCAGACGCGTTGGATGCAAAACGGATGGCTGTAAATGAAAGATGGCAGGCACACCATCATCACCAACTCAGATTTTTATAGGAGTAGAGATAATTAACCAGCATTTTCTTTTTTGCGGTTAACCAGAAGAGGGTTACATCTCCATTTCATATGGAAACGAAAAGCCCAAGTCGAATCTCATGCTTGATCGACTAAATAGACTTCTGGAGCGTGCTCGCTAGTGGTCACATCCCATGCCATGAAGGCGGTGGCAAACTAGCCCATGAGAGGTAGGGAGAGGCGCACAGAACAAACAACCCGGTGAGAGCAGTGACGTCAGCCCTAGACGATGAAAACCCTAGCATGAGGTCAGGAACGAGCACCCAGTTGGATCCAGATCCAACGGGTGGGATTAACCGGTCCCAACGAGCCTTTGCCAGGGACAAGTGGGACCACCGCTCACAACACCTGCTATGGCCTGCGGAAATAGAGTATCTGGGTGACTCTCGAGGATGAAAGGAGAGGGAACATGAGAGGTCAAATTGGCTCCCCTCAACAACAAAATCTTACCAAGAAGCTCCGAAGAAAAAATAATTTACCATCACCATTTCCTGAGCTCTTTGATTTGTTTCAAAATGATCTCCAAGTTGACAGCACAACACAAATAGCGTCTCACCATACCATACGGTGCTCATTTAGAGCACACGGAAATTTCACACGGCCGATTTCATCTCCAACAGAAGCAGTAAATGGCACATCACACATGCATCGTTCAGGAAGTGCACATGACGAACTGAGCACAGAAGCTAACACAATACACAGTGTATACAAACTATACAGCAAGGTCTTCATATATGCTCACAAAGAAGATTGCCGCCTGCCGCATCTCTTCCACCTTCCAAGTTTCTCGAAACCCTGGAACGGAAAAGCATGTGAAAGATCAAAGACATGAACAGAAGGGGGCCATAGCTCCGATATAGCTGCCGACAAGAGGAGTGAGCGTTCACAAGATAACTCATTTTTCTTCCCCGGAGATAACTCGGTACAGGAAAAGCAACAGCGGCGTGTAGGATGTACCTTGCGCGGTTTAATAGCCAGCTCGTTGTCTTCCATCCAAACAGCCTTGAAACCCAGCGGCTCCAGCACATTCTGATAGCTGCAGTTTCGCAAAAGAACGGCCATCGGGTCAATAATGAAGGCAGGATAACATTTCGGTTTCTGTCCTACACAAAGCTGCGTCATCACCGAGGAAAAACCCGAGCTTTTCAACTGGAAATTAATTCTTTCGACGATAGGGACGGGACATGCATACTTACTCAGCAACTGTATTATTGTAGGGCGGCCCCCCTTCTTGATCGCTGATCTGTAAGAGGAAATATTATATGCAGTGCCCTCCAGTTGTGAACAAAGTAATGTGACGGCATCCGAAGAAGCCGGCCACGTTCGTGCACCTATCCAGATTAATTTTGGTGCTTAGCACTGATTTAATATGTGCATCAACACCCCCTTGTTTCGATCAGGGATGGGCATTGGAGTAGGCACCTGGAATTTTTGTCTGTTTTATATTAGAGCACTGAGTGTCTGTCCGACTCCGAAGTGTCAAAGCAAAATACATTGGAACGACAGCGTGGGAGGTTTTAGCATGTCTTTATCAAATGTCAGCATTAGCTTTAAGAAGAGTAAGCATACTGATTCTTTTAAAGGGTGTCATGCACCAAAGGTCATGAAAACATGTGGTTACACAAGGATAGGAAATGAGGAAACAGCGATAAGATGGTTGGTGGATTTGCGCGTCAAGTGCTCAGTCCCGTTGATTCACACCAAGCTATGGACCCCACATTAATCAATTCATCCAATGTCCTTTGATACGTATTGTTGCATGTTGCAGTTCTCTGGAACATAGGTCCAGGAAACTATACAGGTAATTACTCATAAGAATTTGGCTCTACTAAGATACCTAGATTCTATTTGCTTTCTTCGGAGTTCAGAACTTGCTGCAGTCGTAGCTGCTGTGAATTTAGTAGCGAGTTCCAGTTGTTACCTATGACTACTCTGTCTACTCGTGATCCTTGATAGAAGGACAGCAATACCACCACAATCCTCCAGGATTAGGCTATTCTTATAACATAGAACAGCATAGAAATTTTAAAGGTAAATCAACCGGTTCATATTTTTAGAGTTCAGTTTAGTATATATCATATCATATGATAAGTAGAATAACATCTCCAATGCAAAAGTAAACAAGCAGCATAGAGAGATTCTGTCCTCACCAAATATATCAAGGTGATAAGCTCTCCATCTGGTTTCAGAAGGCGACTAACTGTCTCTGCCCAAGCACCCCTCATGCTCGGATCAAGTGCACAAAAGAACCTGTGTGGATTAATAAAGGTGATCTAAACTGCCTCCAGAACAACAAATAAGCAAGATAAATTGACGCGTACGTATAATCGAAAATGAGGTCAAATGGTTCACTTGGTCTCCACTTGAAGAAATCAGCAACCAGAAAAGAAAACCAATCTGCATTTGGCAAAGATGATGACCACTGGTACATCAACAGGGAAAACGATTAAATGTATATAAGTTTTAGCACCACAAAGGGTACCTAGGATAACAAGACGTTTTTTCAGATAAATGGTATAGTACATTACATTTATTTCCAGTTATGATTATTACTTATGAAAACACCAATTCAATCCAAATACCAAGACCTGGGTTCAGTTGCCATTATAATCAATACTGCATTAGAATTCATGAGTACACATGTTAAAATGTAAAAATTAGAGGTAGCATCCTTGGTCACAAAGTCATCATTTTAGAAGATATATGGTTGCCTGCTGTAATTAGCTTCACGCGTGGTTCCCTTTTCCTATTTTGAGGATAGTTTGCCCCGTGACATAAATCAAACACAACCATGCTCCGCATATAAGCTTTTGCTTCCATGAAACAAGGTTAATCTTTCCCAGCACAAAATGGACCTGAAGCTCTGTTTTTGAGTCGCCGACTAATCGCCGATTAGTCGCCGACTAATTGCCAAGTTGTTGCGGCGTGGCTGGCTCACGCAGGTGACTTGACTCAGGGAGCAAGTCGCGCGACTTGCGTGGCTCGCCGGCGACTTGGGGCGATTAGTCGCACGACTCGCTGGCTCGCGTGGCTTGCTGCTGCTGTATATGTGATCATGTGGGGACTGGGGAAGGAGGAGGACCGAAGGAAAGAGAGCGCAGGGTGGGCTCTATATGTGCTCTGCTTAGATGTAGTATATTTTCTCTGTTGTATATGTGCTCTTCTGCTGCTGTATATCTATGTGCTCTGCTGCTCTATGTACTGTTGTGCCATGGCGACTTGGGGCGACTAATCAAGCCAAGTCGCTGACTCAAGCCAGCAAGTCACTAGCCGCAGCCTCGGCGACTTGGCTTGACTCGGCGACTCAAAAACCTTGACCTGAAGCACTTTGGAAATAAAAAAAAAATTCTAGATAAGGTATCAAGCATGTTTACATGACAAATCATGATTGTGCACAGAAGAATTTAGCAAAACAAAACCATTAAAAGAAGCAACTAGCATTGTGTTATAAGCTCACCTTAGCTGCGAATCAAGCTCTTACTCAGTTACATCTCACCTGCTTAGCCTTCTCAGCAGCTATATTAGAAATCTCTAAGCCAACGACAAATCTCTCGGGGCTTGCCAGAGCAACCACATCATAACCCTGTTATACAGCAGCTCAATCAGAAAAGATTGATGACAAGTTGTTGCAACGAAAATCGGAGCAGAACCCTAACGTATTTTGCATTTCAAGTTGTAAATTTTGGTTTAGTTGTCATATTCATTAAAAAATAGTTTAGTTGCCACATTATTCTCGCATCCAGGACTCCCAATAGAAAAAATATATATTCTACACACTAGTTCATACATATGACAATTGCTCTCTGTGTAAACAAATTTGATATGTTTAGTAGGCTAAAGAAGTACTAGATCACATTGTTACGGTATGTGATGATTTGTTTTTATCAAATGGTGAAAGAGCTGAATGTTTAACTGGCGACCAATTTTTTTTTAGTAATTGATCACCACATTATTATTGAACCTTTTCCTTAGCAAGAAACTTGGGATTACCATTGGGTTTCTTTTAAATCTTATAAAGACTTAGATGACTCATTCCATATAACGGATGTCACTTGGGTTGGTGTAGCCAGAAAATTGCACAGATTGAAGGGAAAGGCGTAAGTGTTCAGACAGAGGCAGATGATAAATGCCATCTGCTTAACATACCATGCCGCATCCCGGGACCAACGCTCTTCCTTTAGGGAGAGTTCCTGATTTAACGAGATGCTCGATGATAGGCGTCGGCTTCCCCAGATCCCACGGGGTTACGCCAGTCTCCCAGGACTTCTCCCAGCCATCTGACCAGAAGCAGCAATAATGAGCAACCAAAAATAGCAAGGGAAATTACTCCAGAAGACAGGAAACAGATACAATGCTGAACCGAAAAACGAATCAAGCGATTGTACGAGGCACCATGACACATTAAGCCGGCAGTGCATTTCTCTGCTTTGCAGTGATCCACTATTTGCATCTCAATCAAACACCCTTTACCCTCTAGTGAAAATCCCCTCATTCGTTATGGGTTAGCCTGGTTTCATGCTTGGTTTGGTGAAGCATCTAAGCTGATTCTTCCATCGACCGCTCTACCGCGTTATTTCCGTATTTCTGGAATTGCTTGCCGACGAAATGGGTGGAGACTCTCCCCTAACCTGCGACCCCCATCTGAGAAACTCTCCAACCATAATCCAATTTTCACACATTGAGGCCTAGTCGGCTACCAAACATACATAGGTCGTTGCCTCCAACCAACTCGCCGCGGAAAATTCCCCAACTACTCGTCGGCCCGCTCGCCGCGATCCGTCCACCCCACACACAGCTAGCCGATCGCGCCAACCACCAGGTACGAGACGAGACGGGACGAGATCGCCCGACCTCGACGAGGACGAGAAACCACCAGCAGCACACCACATTCATTCATTCATTCAACTCCCCCACCCACCCAACAGCGACCCGCAGCAGCCAACCAACCAATCGGCCCAGAGATCGAGCGAGCTCACCTGCCGCGTCGCCGCCGCCCCGGAAGATCTCCCGCAGCCTCCCCACCGTCGGGTTCCCGCCCGGGTCCCCCGCCCCGGCCCCCGCCGACGACCCCATCGCCGCCGCCCGCGCCCCGCGCGAGACGACGGCGCGGCCAGCCGGCAGCACGTGGCGCATCCGCCGCGCTGTCGAGCCGGGAGAGCGCGCGCGAGAAAGCTTCGCGCTTTGCGGCGACAAAAAGCGGAAAAGGATAAAAAACAATGGCAGGAGGAGGAGTACAAAATACGAAGGGGATAAGAGGATAAAACCGGCGAGGGAGGGAGGGGAGAAAAAACAAAGGGCAAAGCGGGGAAGAAAAGGAAAGCCGGAGCCGGGCGGAGCTGTCGAGTATATCACTTCCCCTGTGCGCACGCCTCCGCCCTCTCCCCTCCCTCACCCGCACCCAAATCCGTCCTCCTCCCGCGGCGACGAGCCCCCGCGGCGGGGGGAGAGGAGGAAGGGGAAAGCCGGCGGCTTTGCGCATGGCGGAGGCGGCGGCGGGGGCGGCGTCGGCGCTGCTGGACCTGCCGGAGCCGCTGCTGCTGCTCATCCTCGGCGCCCTCCACGACCCGCGCTCCCGGCACCGGGCCTCCATGGCGTGCCGCCGGCTGCTGGCGGCGGAGCGGGCGACGCGGGCGGCCATGGCGCTGCGCGGGGACCCGCGGACGGCCGACTTCCTCCTCCTCCCGCCGGCCTTCTGCTTCCCGGCGCTGGAGCGGCTCGACCTCTCCCTCGCCTCGCCGTGGGGCCACCCGCTGCTCTCGTCCGCCTCGCGCGTCGCGGGCGCGCCGGCCTCCTCCTCCTCCAACCACCTCGCGCTCCGCCCGGAGGAGATCGCGGAGCGGAACGCCTACGTGGCGGCGCGCCTCGCCGCCTACTTCCCCGCCGTGGCCCGCCTCGCCGTCTACTGCCGCGACCCCTCCACGCTCGCCAGCCTGGCCCCCTGCTGGCGGGCCACGCTCCGCGCCGTCAAGCTCGTGCGCTGGCACCAGCGGCCGCTCGACCTCCCCGGCGGCGCGGATCTCGAGCCGCTGCTCGGAGCCTGCCCCCAGCTCGCGGCCCTCGACCTCTCCGAGTTCTACTGCTGGACGGAGGACGTCGTGCCGGCGCTCGACGCGCACCCGGCCGCCGCCGCCAGGCTCACCGACCTCGACCTCGGCCTCGCCGGCGCCTCCAACGGCTTCCACGCCGCCGAGCTCGGGGCCATCGCCGCCGCCTGCCCCGGCCTCCGGCGGCTCGTCGCGCCCTGCGTCTTCAACCCCCGCTACGTCGACCACGTCGGCGACGACGCGCTGCGCTCGCTCGCCGCCAGCTGCCCCCGGCTCACCGTCCTGCGCCTCAGCGAGCCCTTCGAGCCGGCGTCCACCAGCCAGCGGGAGCAGGCGGGCATTACCGCCGTGGGGCTCGTTGACTTCTTTGCCGCGCTCCCTGGGCTGGAGGACCTCATGCTGGACCTCCAGCACAATGTGCTCGAGGCAGCTCCGGCGATGGAGGTGCTCGCACGCAGGTGCCCACGGATCAAGGTCCTGACGCTGGGGTGCTTCCAGGGGCTGTGCAAGGCCGCCTGGCTGCATCTCGACGGCGTCGCCGTGTGCGGCGGGCTGGAGTCGCTCTGCATCAAGAACTGCGAGGATCTCACCGACGCCAGCCTCGGCGCGATCGGCCGTGGCTGTGGGAGGCTTGCCAAGTTTGCCATACAAGGATGCAACCTTGTCACGTCAGATGGGATCAGGAGGCTAGCCATGGCGCTTCGGCCTACATTGAAGGAGGTCAGTGTGCTGCACTGCCGGTTTCTGCACACTGCAGCATGCCTTGCTGCTCTGAACCCAATCCGCGATCGGATTGAGAGCCTTGAGATCAACTGTGACTGGGAGGAGGTTGAACAGCCCAGCTCCAGCTGCCTGGCCAACGGCACAACCGGAAGTGATCATGAGGATGACGAGCCTAGTGAAATGGCGTACCAGTCCGCGCCCAAGAAATGCAGGTTCTCCTACTTGGAAATGGATAATTATGAAAGCTGGGAGATGCTCCGCTCACTCTCCCTTTGGTGCCCTGCTGGTCAGCTGCTCTCCCCGCTCATTTCTGCCGGGCTCGATAGCTGCCCTGTTCTTGAGAAGATCTCGATTAAGGTGGAGGGCGATCTCCGGACTTGTCCGCGTCCATTTCACGGGTCAGCTTTTGGCTTAAGCGACCTTGGAGCCTTCCAGGCGCTGGCCAAGATGAAGTTGGACCTCAGCGAGGCGGTGGGTTATGCGCTCACCGCGCCAACGGGGCATATGGATCTTTCACAGTGGGAGCGGTTTTATCTGAGCGGTATCGAATCATTGCTGAGTTTGTATGAGCTGGACTACTGGCCGCCCCAAGACAAGGATGTGAACCACCGGAGCCTGTCACTGCCAGCGGTCGCACTTTTCCAGCACTCCATCGGACTCAGGAAGCTCTTCATCCATGGCACCACACACGAGCACTTCATGAGCTTCTTCCAGAAAATGCCAAACTTGAGGGACGTGCAGCTAAGGGAGGACTACTATCCAGCACCGGAGAACGACATGATGATCACAGAGATGCGGGCTGAATCTTGTCTCCGGTTCGAGCAGCAGCTGAACAACCGGCAATTTCGGCAAATTCCTGATTGAGGCCGAATTGGGTGCACCATTACAGTGATTCGATGGTGAATACATCAACACAGAGAGCCCTTGCTCTTGTTTAGTCACCCAGAGTGCTACTGAAGTATCTTTGGGTTGCTTGCGATGATTGCTGTAGTAACTGGAATTGCTCAGTCCATTGATGATAAGAGTAGAAGACAATGCCTGATCAAGTGACAGTGGTATCGAATCTTTATTTGCATTCCTTTTTCTTTTTCTGGTGTAATAAGAGAGAGACTCAGAGTTCACATATTTGCAGGAGGCAAGATGATAAATTAGCATTTGAGGGAGTTTTGTCAAGGGAAAAAGTTTTTTATTTATTTTCAAGCTGAGCTCAGTTGAACTGCGGCAAGAGAAATTGGCGTTATTATTCGGGTAAATTGTAATGTTTGAGCTCTGTAAACATTAGAAAAATCGGCAGTCACTTGTTTGTCATATGCCCTTGTCCTTCAACTGTCACATTTCGTCATTCTGAAGATGGCCTCATTCCAAAATTTGCTGGTTAATTATACGAATGGAGAAACTGGTGCATACGTAGTAGCTGCACTGGGAAGTTATAATTTGTCGCTGTGTCCTTGTGCTTACTACTGTCTCCTTTGCCTTGCATCCACAGGTTTGACCATAAGTTCAAACTGCATGGCAAACCGGCTTGCAAGCTGCTATGCTAAGTACTGAAATGAGATGAACTTGTAACACCTGACAGAAGAAAGTTCACCCCGCCATTAAGAATTGGGTCTGATCTGACAACAGAAGTACAGAGTGCTCAAATTAACTTTCTTCCTTGTTGATGCAGGCATCAAAGATCAAAGGAGCTTCTGCAAGGTCCAAGCTAGCAGCCCATCATCAGAGCAGACTACCACAATTTGCTGATAGGAGTACTTGTTAACCCAAAGGCCCCCAACTAAGGAGTGGTTCCGCAAATCGCAGCATGACAAGGAGGACAGGACGGACAGGCGTGCCGCGGAACAAGATCGGCATCGGAACCTATTGCACAAGAACTGGTATGGATCCCAGGTGCGTTTTGTCAAAGCCAAGTCCCAACGATTCTTTCTCCTCTTATTGCAGAAGAAAGGCAGGCAGCCAAGCACCAAAGCACAGCCCTGCGTACTCTTGGTGACAGAGAGGTCTCTGTTTGTCTGTCCCAATCTAATGTGCGAGCAGCGCGTGCGCTAATAGTATGCCTTCTTTTCGGGTTAAGTAGTTAGCTGGAGGCGTCTCAGTGCAGGAGTAGGATGCTGGTGCTCTATAGAATTCAGTGCAAAGCTGGCGTCTAGAAGGGCCAGATTAGATTAGGTAGAGCAGAAGCTTGCTCTTTTCTTTCTTCCTCTCGCGTGCATGTGCCACGTTGAGGGCTTGTTCATCACATGATTTGCCCTTTTCTTTGTGTGTGTGTGACAAAGACAAGTTATGAACCAAAGCTCAAAAGCAGCCGCAGATGCCCAATTCTCCATGTCATGCCATTCCATCAGCCGCAGATGCCCAATTCTCCATGCCGTTCCATTCCAAAAGTGCCTGCCTGATGTGGAGTGATTCCGAGGTCAGATCGCCCGGTGGATGGATGCTTGCTCGATCGTGGGCCTCAGGCGATGCGCTTCCTGCGAGCGAAAGCGCAACGCGCGTGCTGAGAGGCGTGATTCTGGACCATGGTTCAGCCAAACCTATGGTCGACGCCGTACGATTCAACATCCTGCTACATGTGGATCCGCGTCACGCATTGTTTAATATGCAAACAGTTTCCATCATGCATTTTTTAATCAATCATGCACGGATCCTTATGAAAAGTGTCTAGAGATCAATGGTGTCGAGCGTAGGTTCGGCAGAACCATGGTTCCGTATAACATTTTCGAGGATGGGATACGAGGCGGCCGGCGGTCGACTCATCGGCCGGAGGATTTTTGTGGTCGTCGCCGCCGCGTGCGGTACGGAGACGGGCAGCGAAGTCAAACATGCATGTGCAGAGCTGTGTATGCATGCACCTCATTCGCTCGGAAAAGCAGTGGAGAGGGAAAAGGGTAAAGCGTTTGCTTGCTTGCTTGCTGTAGGTGCTACTAGTAGCTAGCTCTGCTGGCTTCCTTCCTTGGTTTTCTGAAAGTGTTATCCTCGGCGTGATGTGAATTACTAGTACTCTCTCCATGGAGAAATATAAAAGCATTTAGATCACTAAAGTTCTTATATTTTTTGGGTGTGTCTAGGTCTCAGTCGACTGAGACCTAACCAAGTTAAAGTCTCAATCAAGTGAGTAGTATATAAGAAGAAAAAGAAAAACTGAAAAGAATTTTGTGTATGAATCTCCATGCAAGATCAAAGGAAAATAACATCGACTGAAACATAACGAAGTCTAAGTCGACTGAGACTTAGCAAAACTGATATATTTTTTTACGAAGGGAGTAGTTTGTTGAGTTGGATCGGTTTGCTTTTGCGACGCTTCCAGACCAATTTGGGCCGTTCATGGTTATTTCATTTTGATTCAAGGGCCAACATAACCTAGCTTGC